TTCATCCACTTGGTACTTTCTTTGACTTAGGGTATAAAACACACATTTAAGGAGGACCACATCATTTGTTATTTCACGCTGTTAATTTGGGAAATTTTGAAAGATTACTTGTTTGTTCTTAATACTAAGAAGATAGGTAGTTAGCTGTGTTAGCCTGAAGTCAGTCAGAAGGCAGGGTAGATATGTACCTTTACAGACTACCTAAGTAAAATATAGACGGAGAGAGAAAGGGAGTATGACTGATGGCAGTCCATTTCATTCAGCTGGATACAAGAGAAGCAGCCCCTTTCTTTGTTTCAGTCATTAAAATCCAGTTGAACCTTTTTCTGATCAATTTAGGGTATGGTATACATGTCCCACAGAGTATGAATACTTCACTTTGACTCTTAAACTAACTGAATTACTTAAAATCCTTTTATGAATGATCAATATTTAGATTTTTTTCTTTACTAGTAAATACTTTTTTTTAACTACTAGTAGTTAAAAGATAGATTCCAGGTAATGCCTTTCAGAGCATGGTTGCAAGATAGTTAGAAGACAGAAAGACAGTGTAATATGGTTGAGGTTCTCAGCTATTTCAAACTACTGAGGGAGACATAAGGCAGTATCTCTTTCAGGGACAACAAAATCCTTTTGCCACAAGGATCTACAGCTACAGAACTCTGGCTAGCCCGAGTAGTCAGGAAACTGCTGAAATACAAACTAACTTGGATCCTGTGGGAAATTTGCTCAAAAAAAGAAGATTGACAAGAAGACTGAGGCCCTATATTTCTGTTTCTTCATCAGCCTACAATAATTTCAGTTTCAAAGGAAGAAGGTATTGCCAGAGTTGTAATACTGGCATTAATTTCACTGTAACACATTTAAATTCATATTATTCTCCATACTCTATTATTATACCTTCATAAATCATCAGGAGCTTTTTCTTGTTAAATTAGAGTTGTTCAGCACCTATTAAATTGCCTTTTAATTAATTCTGATTTCTTGCAGGCACCCAAAACTACAGCTATTCTATTCATACCTTTCTTTAGAGATTTGACAGACTTATTGGTGATGATTCAATTGTCATGGAAGTGAAAAATCATTTGTCTGTTCAAGGTGCAAATGTTGGGCCATGCAATGTGGCCCATTTAACAAATCATCTTTTGGAATATGACGTTCCAACATTGCACTGAAAAGCAATCAGATGTGTCCTTATATTTGGCAAGACCACTCCACAAACTCCACACGTGATTTCAGTAGTTTTCAACATGGAGAGACTAATAGTGCTACTAGGAGAGGTACATGGCCTAATACAGTATCTATAAGAGTCCCATTGAAAAGTAATACTTAGTTGCTTTCACTGATGCTTCAGTATTACAGCTGATGGAATAATGCATGCTCCCCCCCACCCACCACCTCCTCTCTCATTCCACATGACTATTAAACATAATTTAAAATGGAATGTGCTTGGGTTGTGCTTACACTCATGCTTGCTTTCTGCCAGTGTTCACAAATCAAAGACTAGCTCATACAAAGCAAACGGACATGAGTACTCACACTGGTAATGTGGTATTTTTTCTTTTTGGAACACTGCTTGACAAAAGTTAACTCATCAACAGACCTGATTCTGCAAACATGATCTCCTACTGGGGACACCAGGACCTGTTTCAGCTTCACCAGAGTGCTTTAGGGTCATATTCCCTATATTCAGCTAACTGGAGCAAAGCATAGAAAGGTAAAAAAAGAAAACAGAAAAGTATCAATAATAATATATTTATGATTCTTTTAGTTTTCATGCTACAAGATGTGCCAGTTAAGGAATATGACCTTGAACATGCCCATATTTAGTTTTATGGCAAATGAATAGCATTCACAGGGGCAGGCCATTAGAAAAGGCACTTCTTTTGGAATTCAGAGGTCTGGCCTAATAAAGAAGAGTACTTCAGCACAGGTTTATGTGAGCAGAGAGAAGTAGTTAGCTGTGTTAGTCTGAAGTCAAGCAGAATGTAGGGTAGAAGTATCAGATGAAGTGAGCTTCAGTCCACATAAGCTTGTGCTATATATAGGTCTACCCTGGTTAGTCTGTAAGGTGCCAGTCTACCTTGTCTTCAACAGGCTTACATGCCATTACATTAATGGGACAGAGACTTGCATTTAAGCACATGATAGAGGGACAAACTTAAGTACATGTTAAAAATATTACTGAGACTCAACATGAGCAAATTACATTTTGATCTACAAAAGACATCTTCTCTTTCAAAAGAATCTAGCGAACACAAGACACTAAAAATAACATTTTCTGTTGCATGGTATTTCATTTCATAGTACTATTTACAGTATTTCCTGTTTGCTATTGCTGTTGAAAGCTATTTTGAATTAATTTAAACTGATGGTTCTGGCAGCAGAAAATTTTGTTTCTCTCTGTAATGTAATTCTGTATTTTGTTCCATTTAAAAAGGCAGCCTCATTAAAGTTCTTGATCAAAGAGCTGGAAAATAGATGCCTTTCATGTAGGAATCTGCCACACATTGTTTACATTTCATAAATGTACAGAGGGAAGAGAAGAAATGAGAGCTGTTATCATGTGCACAATACTCATTCTAGGTCCCTAGTGATTTTTTAAATGAAGATCCTGTAGTATATGTAATGTGTTGTGTGTTATATATCAATGTTTATTGGTGCTTTGGGTAATATTTAATGTTTTTTGTATAGTCCATTGAAAAAGAAAAATAAGAAAGACTGAGTGCACGCTCTCAAAGCTCTAGTTCAGCTATGTGAACTAACTAGACTGATCCCTGTGTCCATCCAGATGGTGTTCCAATGTCATTTTGTGTACATATATGGGTCCCCGCTAACAAATCCCAATGCAAAGGCCAAGTATTTTTTTTCTAGCCATCAAGATTTTCAGGTTATTTATTGCACACACGTGGGAAACTTGGCATTCTACATCAGCTTTGTAACTGGAACATGAAACTGAGTTGTCTAGAAGAAGTCTATACATTAAGAAAACAGAGATCCGCTATTTTATGTTAGCCACCGTATATCTATTTTTATCAATGGCCGGGATTCAGCACGTGGAAATTTCTTTTTTGAAATTACATAGTGGAAGCCAAAAAGAATTTGTTTACAGCATTTCATTCAGAGCTCAGCCAGCCTGTAGTTATTTTAAACTCTGCTAAACTAAATATTAAAGCAGTTAGGAGGAGAGAGAGAGACTAAGATTTCCATTGGCCTAATGTCATTACTGAAAATATTAATGAACGTTAGTAGCTTTTGCCATGAAGAACAGAGATCAGCTTGAAAAAGGCAAAGTTTGTCAATAGACACCATACTGTTGTTGAAGTTACTTACTATTTTATGAATTAGGAACACAAACATAATGGATTTAGACAGAAACATCACTTCATAGAGTATGATATCACTAATTATTTGTTAGTGGTCCCATCTTACAAAAGAAACTCATTTAACCACATCTTATTTTAGAGCTGCGCTGCCCATGACTTTCTACACTCCATTTCGTCACATGACATAACTCTATTTTCAAATCAGCAAAATTATTTATACTTAAGTCAAAGCCCTCTTGTTTGCTCTGTAGAACAGAATATTGTTCATGACAGGATATTGTATACTGTGCATTTATTTCATACTGTATTTTCTACTGTGATTTTAAGGTCACACATTAAATTACTGAATCAACAAGATCTTATGCACATTTAATTTTATGCAAGCAAATAGTTCAATTTAAGCACGTTTCTGCATTTATGAACCTAATTTTTGTAATAAGTTTTAAGGAACAGGTTGTTTTTTCTTTCGCAAAATGTTAGGCAATAAAGTCATCTGTTCACAGTGTGCTGAAATTGTGCTATTCCAGGACAAATTATAATTGGGAAGGCTGAGGTTCATTACTGAGATCAATATTAATCAAAACCTTGTTTACATGTAAATTCACATGCTTTAGCCAAGGTGCATGATTCACCTGAGATGGTATATCCTGAGGAAAAGAAACAATCTGTGCTCATATTCAGGTAATTTACATTTAGTTTGTATTTATTTTCTTCAGCTTTAAAGGGGATGTGATGGTACATGCCAGTAACTTGAGGTTTCCCTGATTAGGCATGTGAGGCAAAGTATACACTGAAGGCTGCTGTGTAGCATTTATCATGAGTAGGAGGTCATTAATAATGTGGAAGGTATGCAAGTGAGATGCTTCAACCAAAATGAATGGCAACCACATTTTTAAAGATATCAGATACACACTGTATTTCAACTTTCCCATATGAATTTTCAAGGAAACAAAAATGGCAAATTAGTGACCAAACAATGTTGTTCGTATTTGGGGAAGTGTATTCCAGCTCTGTGGACTAGCCTGGAACCAAAACAGAACATGTAAATAAGCTGGAAATAGCACAGAATTTCATGAGTTGCAGGAACATTATAGAGCCAACATATTGTCCCACTTTGCTCTTCATCAAGTCTCCCTTAGACTCAAATCTGTTTGCTAATCTGTGGTGGGAATGTGATGAGACAGAAGGCAGAAGAGGAGTCAAAAGTGACGAGTACTGCAGAGCACAGTCCTACACAATCAAGCAGATTCTCAGAGGCTTCTCTAATTTACGCTGAGGATGTTTCATACTCTGCTGTAGTCCAAATCCCAGATGATTTGAAGGTGACTCTCAACTTTTCCCCCACTAGTTGAATCTTAGCCTTTGTACTACAGTTCTCAGGAAGTATAGTATAGAATCAAGCCTCCTGTCTCTTCCCTCCTCTTATTTTTTTTATTTTTTAATAAATCATCATCTGCTCAAACCTGTTTTCAAAGCAAAAACATGATTTTGTTTTGGACACTACAAATAGCTGCGCACAAAATATATCAATAATAATAAAATCAGTCCACTGCTGATTATCAGGTCCTATAAAAGTATTTTTCACTGAGACAATTCTGAGATATTATAACTTCATAAATATTACAAACAGATTTGGGGAAAAAAAGAGTTAAATAAATATAACATCAAGCTTACCGGCAGGTGCAGAAAGTGAACAATGTAGTTCAAGACTGCAGTGATCAGCAGGTAGTTCTTTGAATTTATGTTGCCTAAAGTCAAATTTTGAATCATTTTGATCCTTGATCTCTTCTGGAGAAAGATTTTCCAGTTCAATTATTGAAGCTGACATTGGAGGGTAGTTTCAGTTAAAGTCTTAAAATAATAAAACACCCCTCCCCCTTAAAAAAAAAAAAACCACATAAAAATAAACAGCCTAACAACAACAGTACAACTTTCCCAAAGTTTTAGGTTTAACTATTTGCAAGTCCCTCTGATTGAAAATCTTAGTATTGCAAAAGCTTGTCCAATTTCTTTTTAAAGTCTGAGATCTACCATTTTCAGTAAGTTGTTTTCCAGCTCCAAAGTATTTTCTAAATTGCCTACTTGTCCACCAAGATAAAAAACCTATTCCTTTAAGAAGTTCCTCTGTTCTTAGAGTGACAGCACTATTATGGTATTTTTGTTAGCTGCTACAGAAATAGACAGGATAAGTGGAGACATCTGTATGTCTGCTAAGATCTGTCCGTAATAACTTTGTTTTAACAACTCTAATTCATGTTTCATTATACATTGGTCCAGCTGGGAGGAGCTAAGCAGTACAAATGAAAACAAGTGCATTCCACATAACAGCTCATTAGCTGGGAGCTAGCAGCTGAAATATAGAAGTTAGTTATGCCATAAGGATGTTTCTTAAATCAGGACGCACAGATCTGTCCGGAGTTTATTCAGCAAGATAACTGAAAAAAAGGAAAGGTCAAAGTGAGAAATATACAATCTAGATAGAGTGCACACACATACACACTTGAGTCTCGCAGCCCAGCAGCGAGGCTTTAAGCTTTTGTTTATGGGATACAGCTGTATTACTGTTAGGAAAAGAAAACATTTCATCCTTCAGATTACCTAAACAAGTTATATCTTTTATTGTATTTTCTCTCTCCCATCTTTGAATAAAACTTTTAAGAGCACATCTACAGAGATTTCTCTTATTTCCCCCTCTTCTTTACTCAACCTCTGGTCCCACATTTTAAGCTCTGAGAAATAGTACCAAGAGAGGCACCCACTGGTAATTCTGGGAAATTACACAACTGTAGAAATGTGTCAATGAATTATAATTAGGCACAAACATCTTTTTAAAGGGAAGGACAAGAGAGAAGGCTGTTTTGTCACTGCAAGATGTGTCTATAAATACCCTAACAGCAACACAGATGGCAGAGAGATGGATGTTTAGAAGCCTTTAGCAGGACAGAAAACAGAAAGGAACAAATTAAGTGCAGATAGTTAATTATGCAAAAAGAACTTTACCCCCAGGATTCCTCCCAAGAAACATGTAAGTTCTTGACAATATAAAGGAGCCTCTGGTGAACTGCGATGAATTGACTTTGACCTTTACTGGTCATCCTTCTCTTGCACACAGAAACAGAAGTTGTAACAAGTGGAAGAACATCTGTACCACAACTTGGGGCACAGAGGGGTCTTTTGTATGTGGTTAGATTCTGTTCCATGCATTAGACATCTAGGTTGACTTAGGTATGTAAGGACAGATCTTGGCACCCTGTTCTAGTCCACCTTGTGTAATTTCATAGATTTCATAGACATTAGGGCTGGAAGGGACCTCGGAAGATCTTCAAGTCCAGCCCCCTGCCCCAGGGGCAGGAAGTCAGCAGGGGTCATAGGATCCCAGCAAGATAAACATCCAAACGAATCTTGAAGGCATTCAAAGTAGGTGCTTGAACCACCTCCGGCGACAGTCTATTCCAGACCTTGGGGGTAAGTTCTTTCTTATGTCCAGCCTGAAATGGTCATGGAGGAGTTTGTGACCGTTTGGTCTTGTCATCCCTTGGGGTGCTCTGGTGAACAGATGTTCCCCCAGATCCTGGTGAGTACCTCTTATAAACTTATAGGTAGCCACCAGATCACCCCTGAGCCTGCATTTTTCCAGGCTGAAGAGTGCCATAGCTCTCAGCCTCTCATCATAAGGTCTGCTCCCTTGACCTCTGATCATGCATGTGATCATGCTCTCCTCTGGACTCTCTCAAGCTTCTCCACATCCTTTTTGAATTGTGGAGCCCAAAACTGGATGCAGTACTCCAGGTGTGGCCTCACCAAGGCCGAGTACAAGGGGAGAATGACATCCCGGGATTTGCTTGAAAAGCATCTATGGATGCAAGCCAGCATTTTGCTTGCTTTACTAGCTGCAGCATCACACTGATGGCTCACATTCATCTTGTGGCCAATCATTACCCCCAAGTCCCTTTCATCCATAGTGCTAGCCAGTGTAGCACTGCCGAGCCTAAGCATGCTGCAGGTTTTTCTTCCCAAGGTGGAGAACCTTGCATTTTTTGGTGTTAAACACCATCAGGTTCTCATCTGCCCATTTCCTAACCCTGTCAAGGTCAGCCTGGATCACCCGCCTGTCCTCAGGTGTGGATGCTTTACCCCAAAGTTTGGTGGTGTTGGCGAACTTGGCCAGTCCGCTTCTGATCTTCCTTCTGATCATTAATGAAGATGTTGTATAGTATAGGCCGAAGGACAGAGCCTTGTGGGATCCTACTGGTCACAGGGCACCACAACAATTGACTTCCGTCAACTACCACCCACTGGGTCCTATCTCAGAGCCAATTCCCCAGCCAGCTGATCGTGATGAAGCCAAGGCCACAGTTGGCCAGTTTTGCTAAGAGGTGATCATGGAATATCAAATCAAAGGTTTTTTTTAAGTCAAGATATATGACATCTTACCCTTAAATCATAAAAAGCAGTTAGGAGGTGCAGAACCCACCCATCTTCAGCATCAACTGTTTTTAGGGATCCAACAAGGGTGGAATTTAATTGCATTTAGGCACCTCAGTCCAATTATGCCTCTAATAGATTAAATAAAATCTGTATCACAGCCTTTGGTGGGGTGATGAGAAGCTCAGTCACAACAAAAACTTTGATAGATTATTGTCTGTCCTGATCTCTGCTTGACAGTTAAAGGTAAAAGAAAGACAGTTCTGCAGGCCAGATTTGGCAATGGGAAGTAACTTTAACTTGTACCTGTAGGTGGAGCTCTGCCATATCTCTATCCACATGTGCAGTAGCATAGGCCTGGCAGCAGCACAAATATACCATCCACTTATTATTTATGCCAAGTGAATTCTTTGGCAGTTACTCATACTGAACTACAATTTCTTTAATTTCAAAGGAGCAGGCACAGGGTCAGATTTCACCCTGGCTCCATATAAAGATGCACCATATATACTCAAATATAAGTCAAGTCCCCACAATAATTAGATTCTATATATGGAAAATTTATAAATTTGTTATAATTTTCCTGGGATAGAGTCTAATTATTAGAGGTTTGCCTTGAATTTATCCCCCTCCCACTGTTACAGGAAGGAAAATAAATCTGGGTAGTCACATACTGCCTTGACCTCTACCCCCCCAGCCTCTTCCCACTGTAGACCCTTACCCACCTCTTTACTGTTAGACCCTGCTCTCCCTGGGCACATGGAAGTGAGGACCAAATTTGAAAACACTGGGCACATCTACACATTATATTAAGGTGCAGCATATTGCACCAGAGTTTGATGCTCCTGGCCACCATAAGCACATAGAGCTAGGCTGGAGGAGCCCCAGCCAGCAGGGGGTCTTAGGGGTCAGCCTGCCAACCTGAGATTGCTCCAACCCAGCTCAATATGCTGTGTAGGGGCTGGCTGGGACACAAGGGTGCTCCAGTGTGGGGCTAGCTGGCAGGCAGCCTCTGCACTGAAGCATCCTCAAGACCCAGCCAGCCCCAGCAACATCTGCACATGCATTACTGTAAGTAAAAGAATCTGCTGTAGGATAATACTTGTATTTACAAGTGCTAACCTGTGGCAGAGTTAAGTAGGTTCCTAAGGCCTAACAGCACTGCCATGTAGATGCTGAGAAGTTTACTGTGGAGCTAATTAAACAACTCCACAGTGCCTCATGTAGAGGCACCCACTGACTTTGAAATAAACATTCCTCTAGTAATTTAGTTAATCCAGAATTGATGCATTTCACCTTTTTTTGAAATTGCTGCAAGTTTTAGCACAGGTACTCCATAAATATGCCTTTAAGAAGCACTTTTGTACCTACTTATCTAAAGTACAAACCATGTTTTTCTTTTTCTTTTTTAAACTTCATGTCTCACCAAATTAGCTGAATCAGTTCTGAATTCTATTGACTAAGTAGAGCTCCATCATGTGTGGTACTACCAGCAGCAATGTCCTCCTTCCCAGACTCTTCAGCCTGGGACTTCAGATACTCCAAAATCCATGGCAGACATCTTGTTTGCAGGCCCCAAGCCCAGATCCCTTGGAGTTAGGATGCTCCCAAGTCTCACTTGTCCTTAGTCAAAAGGCCAAAGGAGCAAGCTAGGGAGAAATCCCCATCTCCATAAAAATAAAGCATGTAGCTGAGAAGCTGAGAACCTCCTATAGTAGACTTGGGCAGGGGGGGTTGGGAAGCTGCCAGCAGGGCATTGAACAAGCCTCCATCCTTAACTACACAATGCTACTCAACACAATCTTGGCTCACAGGAGGCTGAGATCCTATGTACAAGACCTTGTGACATAAAAGGATGAGAAGTGTATAAACCATGTATATTAGTCCACAATGAAAAAGCTCATGATTTCAATACACTTCACGGGGCTGCACATGACCAGAGTCAACAGTGTTTCAAGTTATGTTGACCCCATAGATCAGAACTGCTCCGTATGTGTGTGTACTCCAGATACACCCACAAAGGATCCATTAGCTCTCCACTCATGACTGGAACTAGGTGTTCTTGTCACAAGTCCTGGAACCGTCCAAAAATGTGTTTTCAGATAAGGCATAGGGCACCCTGGTCTAGCTACACTTCATGAAGGGCAGGGCCACACTAATATGCAACAGGCAGGCTAAGAGAGGGGGTAACAGAGAGATTCTAGGTGAACTTTTGGGGGCCCCATTTGGTCCCAGATATCAGGCTAGTGAAGAAATAGGAATCATTGCAAATAGGGGAAGAAGGGCACAACTCAGCTATGGGAGTGAAGAGGAAGTTAAATGTATTCAGTGTACTGACTCACTATGACTTGAATAAGAGTGAGCCTGGATGGGGACTGAGTGCAATGGACACTATCAATTTATTCAGATGGGCTGCACTGACCTATCCTTTTTATAGGCTCCCATTAGCATTGAAAGCCTGATATATGCCTTAAAGACAAATAAAGGGGTCAAAAAAGTGTCAGGGTGTAAAAAATGGAGAAGGGAGACCCAAAGCTCAAAACAATGGCAGTGGTGGTAAGCAAGCATGAGGTGGAAAAAAAAGAGTTCAAGAATAGAAATGAAGAACTGGAGACAGATGGAGAGTGGATAAAGGTGGAGAAGAAAGAAAGAAAGCAGGTGACATAGGAGTAACAGCAAAGGCAGCAATAACAAGACTAATGATGTCAGAGGGAAGACAGGAGCAGAGGAGAGTGGGAGCCAGAACAGGAGCAGCAGGATGGTACATCAGGCAAGAAGCAAAGGATGGAGGGATCATGATGGCAGGCTGGC